CCAGGCATGGGAAGGGTATGATTCAGACCCTCTCTGGGGCTCCACGAAGGACAAAAGCAGCCCGGTCAGGCTGGGGGTGGGGATAAGGGTGGCTGTGCTTCCCTATACACCCTCTTGTGACATCCCCTCCACCTGACAGTATTCTAGTACGTGGGCCTGGCTGGGTCCCACCACACTGTGTGTGTGTGTGTTTGTGTGTGTGTGTGTGTGTGTGTGTGTGTGTGTACATGCATGTGCTGCAGTTTCTTGTTTTGTTGCTGTTCTTTCCACATTTTGCGTGTTGGAGCTATTTTGAAGTGTCATGGGTTTGCTGGTGTGTGCGTCTGCAGTACCAGCCAGAGAGGACCCCAAGCTATCTGCAGTCAAACCTTGATTATGTCTCCCCTACCCCAGCTCTCTGTAGCTCCAAGCAAGGAGAAGCATCCACCCAGGCCAGGGCGGGCTCTCTTGTCCCCCAGCTCACCCTGCCTTGAGCCCCGTTTCTAGGAGGCAGCATCAGGGCCTAGGGCCACACTGTCCCCCCAGGGGCCTCCAGCATCCCAGCCCCAGTCACAATGGCCTCCCTTCTTACCCCTTCTTCCAGCATCTGGGTAAGGACCCAGTCGTGTCTTCCTGTTTCCTAGGTTGCCCAGCTGGCGGACAGTGGCATTGCCTGTTGCTAGGTTGCATCTGATACAGGTGACCCTTGCACAGGTAGCCGGAGCTTGGCAAAGGAGTGGAAAGGTCTTGGTTGGGCAGTGTCAGCCCAGGTGTGTGCTAAGTGGCCCTGGGCCCCTTACAAGGGAGCACCCAGAGACGGGGGTGTGAAAAGCTGAACCATCTTCACCCAGAGCAGCCTGCCCATTGCTGGGTACCCTAGTTGATTCCCACTGGGCTAGCATGGCCCACACTGCATGGAGTCCTAGTTCTGTGGCATGTTAATGGTTATTGAACAGGGGTTTTATGGTTTCTTTAAGTTTGAATGGCATTGAAGGAGCTGCCGTATGAACCACAGGGTGGGCTGGGGGCTTCAGACATGGAGCAGGGTGGGTGGCACCCCTTCCCACCACAAAGGAAGTTCCCTCTCTCCTCTTTGCCATGTGCAAGGGCTTCAAGGTTTGGGGACCTGGCTGGGAGCTGCGTGGCTGAGATCATCCCTCGAAGGCTGGAGTTTGTTGGGTGGCTGTGGGACGAGAAGGAGGGACTCTGAGTTGGTTAGGCCACCCCCCACAGGCCTCACGCACACGCAGGGACCCCCTGTGGGTGGAGGGACCTCGTCTTTTCCCATCAGCGCCCGGCAATGTGCAAATTTAACCTTTGGATTTATGACTCTATTCCTTTACAGCAAATGTCACGGGAAATGTCAGGCCAAGGCTGGAGCTGGGCGAGGGGGCCTGTCGAGGGAGAGGAGGGGGCTCAGCATGAGGTGCCAAGGGCCAAGCCACAGCCAGGCTCCAGATCCTCCCCTTGCCTCCTCCTGGAAGCCCTCTCAGATTGCTCCTTGTTTGCCTGGAGGGAGGATTTGGGTTAGTCTTGGCTGCTGTGACCTTGACAGAGATGTTGCTTTGCTTTGCCTCCTGCCGAGGCCCAGATGGGGCCGGCTCTGGGACCTGCCAGAAGTCCCCTCCTCCCTCGGGCCTGGACAGCCGTAGGATCGGGTTTGTGCAGTGCTGGTTTGCACCATGACCTTGGGCAGGGCTGCCCTTCCCTGGTTGCCCTAGGCCTCATCTGTAATCCACGGCTGTTGACCAGAGGCAGTGGCGTGCCTGGCTGAGCGCCCTCACGGGTGGGAAGAAGCATTCCCAGGAGTCCTTGGTAACTGTGTGGCCGAGTGGGAGAAGAGGGAAGTGGGGGAAGGCCCTACCAGGAAGGGGCGCTAGGGCCTGGAACCATCCCCAGTGCACACAGTAGGTTCACAGGAAAGAGGACGTGGAGGGCAGGGAGTCATAATGCTAGCTGGGAATCCTTGGTCCCCAGCTCTCATGCCGCAAACAGCCTGGCCCGTCACTTACCTTGGGCCTAGGGGCTCAGTCGGCCATCCGGCATGACTGCATGGGGAGGGGTAGTCTCAGGGTCCCGAAGCTGCTGCCATTCACATCCAGGTCCCCCCAGGCTTCCCTGAAGGTCAGCTGCACCCCAGCTCCCCCAGCCTGTCTGATGACATTAAATGACCACAGTTGTGCTTCCACAGCTAAACCAGGGTCTCAGCCTTTTTCCTCTGTCCTTCCCCAAAGGCCAGTCTGGCATCCAAGTCTACCTGTTCCCTGTCCAGCCTTTTGAAACCTCACTGCAGGACCAGCCCCGTCCTGGGCCCACAGTCTCTAACATAGGCCCCCGGGTTGCCTACCTGCCATCCCATCCTACACCCAGGGCAGTCAGAAGCCTGTCTTCCACCACTTGCCTCCCTCTCTGGTGCAAGGTCCCAGTGCCTGGAACACCTGTGTCTGCCTCCATATTGCCACGGGGAAGCCCCCAAACAGCCCAATTTGGCCCCAATGTACAAGGAGCCTCACCCTCAACAGCATAGTGAGGGGACCCCAGAAGCCACCCCGGTGCATTTATGGCAGGTGCCCGATGGTGGGCAAGGCTGTCCTGCAGAATTACTGCTCTGTTCAGGGGCTCCAGGCTGGCTGTGTGTGTGGACAGGTGACTGTGCAGCTGCTGTGAGAGTGGAGTCTGGTCTACAGGAGTGCTATCCCATCTCAGGACCTGGCCTGGCTGGGGGGACCCAGGGGAAAGAGTCCAGGTGTGGCCAGGCATGTGGTCCCCATGTGCTCCCTGGAACAGGAGCTTTTAATGAACCAGGGATGGGGGGTGAGCATAGAGGAGGACCCACCATCCAGATCTGCCTCTCCCCAGTTGGTTGGACTTACCAGGAAGGTAGGAAGAGGTGGTGGGCACTGCACTTATGGCAGCATAGGAGCCCAGTGTCCAGGTGGACTAGTGGCTAGAAAGTTCTAGGGTAGCGGCTGGGGATCCAGGTCCGGGGAGAAAGTCCCCACTTCTTGGGTCAGGTCCCCAGGGCAGGAGCTGGGCCACAGTGTGCCATGCATGAGAGGAGCTGTCCCCATTGTCCTGTCTGATCCTCCCCCGTAGGCAGACAGCAGTTTTGGGGGAGCCCTCGGCAGGTCCCTGCCAGTAAGCGAGGTGCCCAGGAAAGGGCACTTGTCTCCTCCTCCATTTTTTGAACAAATTCATCCAAGGACACAAGACTCCTCTCTCTCTCTTCCTGTTCCTTCCAGGTTGCAGGAGGTTCCCTCAGGAGAAATGCTAGCAAGGGTCTGGGGTTGTAAGGACCCCGCTGGGCCCCAGGTCTTAAAAGAAGAACTACTGGCTGACCACCAAATCCCCGGACAGCTCACTGCTCCAACTGTGTGTGTGTGTGTGTATGTGTGTGTGTGTGCACGCACGCATGCGTAGGGAGTGGTGGGGTGGGCCTGGGCCAGGGAGAGAAGGAGGGGCTATGGGACCAGTGGGAGGCTTGCTGAGCCTGCAGCCACCACTCCTCCTGCTGCTCCTGCATGCTCCCCGGGGGCCCGACACGTGGCCCCTGCACATTGGGCCATGTCCAGGCCATCTCTTATCTCCCTCTGCCTTGGCCCCAATTCATGTCAGGCGGAGGAAGGCTGACATGGGGACAGGTGTGACAAGTGTCTGGCTTCCTGGTGGAAAATTGGCCTGAAAGAAAAACTCTTCACTGTGAAGGTATTCCATCGACGTAGAGCTGCCGGATGTGACTGCCACAGAGCCGTCAGGGCCAAGACAGATGGCGGCCCTAATGGACTCCATTCTTCACTGGGGCTGCCTGCCTGCCTGTCTGCCTGCCAGGACGGGCCAAAGCGGGGGCGGGGGGGGCACCTCGCCCCGACATGGGACCTCTCTCCATGCCTGCATCCAGAGGACCAGCAACAGACTTCCAACACTGCACGCTCCAGCCCCAGTACCATCCCCCCATCCCCTTCGCCCACCTGGACTGGCCCTACTGCCTTGGAAAGGGGAGGGTCCACTGCCCTGCCTCCCTCCCTCCTGCTCCAGGAAGCACTATCACTGGCCCCCTTGGCCACAACCCCTGCTCCCACTCCCCACCCTTCTCCTGGACATGAGTGTGTCCTGAGGGGCAGGGGCTATAGAGCTGTCCCTTTGTGGCTCATGGAGACCCATTTCCTGCCTGAAACCCCATGCAATGTTCAGTCCCTACCCAAGGCCCCCAGCTTACAAGGGTAGAGAGTGATTCCCTGCTCTGTCCCTCACTTCTGCCCCACTGATGCTGGGGAGGGATGGGACAGCAGGGGCATCTCTGCCTCTTTAGGGTCCCCAGTCCACATCCTGAATGTCCCACTTTGACAAGCTCATATAACTTTTGTCACCGCCAAAGACCACCCTCCCTCCGTTGGAGGTTATGGCAAGCCATCTATTGCATAGCAAGTTCCTGGTCCTACCCCTCCCTGCCCCCCTGTCCAGCTCCTGGAGTCCACAGCAAAGGCCATGCAAAGCCTGATGAGCCTACTGCCAGCTATGGGGCTGGCAGGTGTGGGCAAGCTATTAGAGGGTCTATCAAGTACCCCATCCAGACCCTGGCTTGAGATCTCAAAAGTGGAACACACTCAAGCCTGGCAAGACCTGGCACTCCTTGATGAGCTGGGGCCACTGCTGGACTGGGTGTGTGTTTTTGGAGGACTGGGAGAGTTTGTTCAGGTTTCCCATGCCTGCTGACAGCCGCGATGGTGGGTGGCAAGGTAGGGAGAGAGGGGCAGGTGGAGTGGAGCCTGCATGCTGATAAAGGAGGTTCCAAGGGCTTGGCAGGTGCCAGTTAGCTGCCAGCTGTGTCCTTTCGGGGGTGGCAGGGTTGGTAGGCCAGGTGGCCACCATCCTGTGGGGTGACATTGCAGGGGATGGTCACTTTGCCCCCGACAGCCAGGTGCTGTGGTGGCCTTCAACATGGCTTGGGGCTGAGAGGGGCTCTTCTGGTCTGGGGAGGCTACAGTTCTCCCACCACCCCACCTGCGTGCCGCTCGCTGGCCATGGGCACCTACGTCAGCCTCCGGAAGTCACTGAAAGGCATTGACCTGCTTTTCCAGGAGGCAGTGCAACAGCACCCGGGCCTACCACCCAGGGCAGGTGAGAAGCTGCCAAGCGTTTCCATTCCAAATTGATTTCAAATGAGGAGTTATCACACACCATCATACAGGAATAATTTGTCACTTGTTTATAAAGAAGCCGTTACCCACCCAACCGCCCCAGCCTGCCTGCTGCCTCAGGCTTAGCCACAGGGTCCCCACGTGAGCACTGAAGCTCAGGGGTGGAGGACGGTGACACCAGGCCACCAAGGTGGCACTTGCCAGATTTAAGGAAAAAAAAAAAAGGGAGAGAAAGCTCCCACCCATTGGCTCATGCCCTCAACACGTACCACAGTTAGGACTGGGTCAGAAGAAGCTGGGAGCCATGAGCTCCATCCAGGTCCCTCACACGGGTGGCAGGGGACCCAAGGACTTGAGCCATCACTGCTGTCTGCTAGGGTCTGAATTAGCAGGAATCGGGAGTCAGTAGCCAGAGACAGGAAGTGAACCCCTCTTGGTCCAAAGTGGGATACCAAATTCACACCCCCATCTCCTGCCCCCATGCCTGGAGGAAGGGACTTTGCTGTCCAAAACCAGAGTGATGTCTGTGACAGTAAGCTAGGGGACAAGGTAGGGCTATGTGGCCAGCAGTGCAAAACTCAGACAGCTCTGGGAATCTTATTTTTTTTCCCCCTCAGACCAGGAGCTCTCTCTCCATGTGTCCTGGCTGCAGAAGCCTCTGGATCGGAGAGCTCAGGGTGCCCTGGGAGACCTCGACACATCCTCGGCTACCCTTGGCTGAGCAGGCGGCAGCAGATCCCTGTGCCAGATGCCAGGTGCCCTGGCCTGCAGCCCTCCTTAGCTCCCCCCCTCCTACTCCACCTTTCTCCTCCAGCTCCTTGGAGGCACCCACTGCTAACCCACATTTGTCTCTGCCTTCTGGAAGATTCACTTCTTATTTATTTCTGAGATTTCACTGCTAGAGAAGCAGTTGCTATTACAATAGTAACATTTGGGTCAGCAGTCTCTGACAAAAAAAAAAAAAATTAAGATCCCCCCTTGTCCCTGCTGCAGCAATCAGCCCCCTTGGTGGGTGGTGTGAAGACTGGTTTACTGGGCCCTGGTGGTCCCTGGAGGCAGCAGCCACAGTACCCTCCTTAGGTTGGCCAGCGGGAAACGTCACATTCCTGAGACTTCCATCCAGCCCCTGGCTCCTCCAGTGCATGACCCAGTGTGAATTTCCCCCAAATGCAATGTCCAGCTTATGTTTCCCAAATCCCAGTCACACAGTTGTTCCCCATGCACACAGCCTTTTGTTTTTCCTGGGGTTTACAGTTGGCTTTGGTTTTTCTCTGGTCTGGGAGCTTCCTCTCCCCCAGGATTGGGGGTCTCTGCCCGGGTCTTTCATTTTCCACTCCTGGGTGGAGGTTCTTACCCTGTTGATCTGTAACTTCCCTTTGTCCCTTATCATTTGAAGGCCACAGTGTTCCTGGGCCCCTGTGTTTTTCCTCTCTGGGTTTAGGTCTTAGGTTTGGTTCAAACACGTGCCCAGCTGAGTGAGGAGTGCTTCCTGGAAGTGCCCCCACCCTGGCCAGAGTTGGCAAGTGTGATTAAAGCTAGACTGGCCAGGGCCAGCCTTCCACGTGGCACATGGCTCCTCCTCAGAGTTTTGGAGCCATTTTTGTCTTCTCCTCCCCCTCGTCCGGTGCCATCATTCACGCTTCTCCTCCTGGAGCCCTCCCCCGACTGTTGGTCCCCAGAGGCCCTGGCAGCCACCCCCGTGAGCAGTGTCCCAGCTCAAGCTGCAGAGGGGAGGGGACTTGGTGGTAAGATTTTTCTGACAACTTCTCAACTCCGTCTTGACAAGATAGCTGGCCAACATTTACCTTCTGAATCTCATTCATCCTTTTTCTTGCTCTTGTGTTTCTGTTTGCAAGATTCTCCTGACCTTGTTTTTCTAACTCTTCTATTGATTTTTTTTTTAATTTTAGCGATGCTATTTTTAATTTCCAGGTACTCTTTCGTGTTCCCTGCTAGCTCCCCATTCCCAGCGCCCTGCTTCAGTTTTAGATCCCCCCTGCACCCTTGGAGGTGCTCCTGGGTGTTCACAATCCCCCCCACAGGTCAGTCTCCCATCTTTTTTCTGCCTGGGTACCCTGGTTTGCTACCATCAGGGGCCACTTTCTCAGAGTGTCATCCTGTCCTCTGTCCCTGGCAAGATGTGCTCTGTCACCTCTCGGGCTTGAACGAAGGTTGGCATGTCTACCTGTGGAGGTGGGCAGGGTAGAGGGCATTGAAGCACTGCTTGGTGTATGTGTGTGCGAGTTGGGGGGTTTCCTGTGAAGTGAGCCCCTCTCCCCCACCTTGGGCTTCTCTGCACTTCCTTATAGACCTGCCCATGAGGCTGGGCTGGCCATGTGTAACCATGAGCATGAAGTTCCCAGGGTGAGGGTGGTGCCCAGTGAGGTATCCAGGGTCAGAAGCATCTCTGAGGTCCTGGGACAGGTGGGTGCTGGGTTCCTTGAGCCTGCACATCAGTGGGGTGCAACCAGTTACTATCAAAAGCAGGTACAGATGAGGCTAGTACTGCAAAGCCCCATCCTACCCTCGGCCAGCCAGACAGGGGGCCTGGGTCAAGGATGGGGTGCTGCCGAGGCTGGGGAGCGCCCAGTGGCTGTGCCTCCTACATACTCCATGGTCTGTGGAACATAGGGTCTACTCTGGTCACTCGTGATGGAGGGGCGAGGGTACTGGGTCCTGTCCCTGGCCTTGGAGCCCTTTAGTGAAGAGTCAGGACAGTGAACCCCTCACTGTCCCCCAAGCACAAGGGGCAACTGTCAGCATCCCTGTCCCTCCATTCCCATCCCTTAGCTCCCTCCTGTTGGTCACAGCGCCACATGTGAGGCTGGGGCTATGGAAGGCTTGCAGGACAACCCTGTTCCAAGAAGCCCCTCCTTCAGATGATGGCCAGGTATGGGAGCGGGACATCCTTGGGCCTGTGCCCAGCCCCAGCCCAGGGGCATCTGGTGGTGTCCGCTGCTGCTAGTCCACCACTCACTGGCTGCAGGGGGTTCCCTGCTCATGTGGATAGCTGGCCACAGGCCAGGCGGGCTCCAGGTCAGCACAGAGGCACCCTGGGCACTAATACTGCTGATGGTGACAGTGAAGGCGCTGCTTGCTGGTGGTGATAATGATACTCATGGTGAAAATGACCTTGACCCCTATGAGGATAGCCAGGGCCTCTATGGTCCCCCTGTCCCTTAACATTCTGGGGCTTGGAGCGGCCAGGTCTGAATCTGATGAGTGCAGAGGGACCACCCCTCCACTCCTTTCACTCCCCAGTCACACCCTGGCTGCAAGTGAGGAGTCTCATGGCTGAGTCATCAAGCTCCAAAAAGCGCTGCCACTCCTGCTTGTCCACAGCCAGGGTCTCCATCTTGCTGCTACCCGTATGCTGTTGCACCGCTCACCCAGTCCCACTACTGCACAGCCAGGACTGGACACTGGTCAGGAACATTCACAGAGGGTTGTGGGAGCTACTGCGGCAACGGGGCCTCCAGGCTCCCATCCTTCCGCCAAGCAGCCGGGGGACAGGCTGATCAGACACGGCCCGGGCAGAGGCCACGCGCCTGCCTTGTCAGTCGTGTTGTACAAGTGCTGAGGGCGACAGAGCACGTGCTGCTGTGCTGGCGGCTTCCTCCCGCAGCGGTGGTGGCAGAGAACAGACCCTGTGCCTGGCTGCGGCTCGTGGTAGGAGGCCTCGGGGTGGGAGTGGGGTGTCCAGCAAGCCCTCAACTGCTTGGTGTTCGCTTACACCTCCATCCCAATCCCACCCACCCCCAAGGCAGCCCAAGGTCCAAGTCTGTGCTGGGACCACAGGATTATATGTGTGTATGTGTCTGTCTGTGGTATTTGCTGAATGTACCTTCCTGGCTGGAATCACAAACTTCCTGGCTTGCATCCTTGAAGTATTCACTCCAATGTCAAAGTCCCTGAGGGTGCAGGGCAGGGCACCCTCATCCTGGGCAGAGTCAGGTGAGCAGGTGGCTGTAGGGGCAGCCCAGTGCCCACCCTAAACACACACACACACACACACACACACACACACACACACACACAGAGGGAGGTCCCTTAACCTGAGACTCCCAGACCAAGGTCATGTCAGGCAGTGGCTGCTCTCTTGGGAGTCCCCTCCTCTGGGGAACCCAGCCTGTGCTGGCCTGCCATGAACCCCAGGATGGGGATATAATTTTCCCGGTGATTAGGCATCAGGTGTTTATGGCAACTGATGGAGTAGGTGGGGACGAGGAGGAACGCTGGCGAAGCCTCCTGGAGTTAGCCTGCAGTGGCTGTGTCCTGGGCTGGCTGAGCTGAGAGCTGACATCCTAATGGGTTCCCAGTGTGTGTGTGTGTGTGTTGGTGGGGGGGGTGGGCATAAGGTGGGGAGTGTTCTGTCACAGCCAGAGCCAGCTCAGGCTGCTGGAGCCCCTAAACACTCCCTGTGGGCAGAGTGCTCACCCTGGACCTCAGCCTGGTGCGGTGACGGGGCAGGACCCCCCTGTGTCCTAGCTGAGGAGAAGAAGCAGGCTCAGGGAGTAGCCAGGCCCCCCAGGTAACAGGGTTGGGGGAGACTGGAGCCCTGACTTGAAAGGGGCCTAGGTAAGGTAGATCCTCAGGGGTGCTGTACGGTCTGGAAATGTCTTTTTTTTTTTTAATAAAGATGTATTTATTGCAAAGTCAGATACACAGAGAGGAGAGACAGAGGAATATCTTCCGTCCACTGATTCACTCCCATAGTGACCACCATAGCCAGAGCTGAACTGATCCTAAGCCAGGAGCCAGGAGCCTCTTCCAGGTCTCCCAGGCAGGTGCAGGGTCCCAAGACCTTGGGCCGTCCTCCACTGCTTTCCCAGGGCACAAGCAGGGAGCTGGATGGGAAGCGGGCCCACTGGGATTAGAACCAGTTCCCCATACGGGATCCCAGCATGTGCCAGGCGAGGACTTTAGCCACTAGGCTATGGCACTGGACCCTGTAAACTTCCTCTAAGGGAGATGATTAAGGGTAGGGGAAGGGGCAGGCCTATCGATAGCCCTGGGACTGTGAGCAGGTGGCTTCTGCCTCACTTCTTCTCATCTGTAAGATGGGTCAGTAAGGTTGAGGTCCTAGGAAAATTGAGCAGAATTGAGAGGGCTCCCCCATTGCAGGCCTGCCTGGGGTGGTCTCGGGGGGAGTGAGTTGGGTGTCACAGGGAGTAGAAGGGCGTAGCATGGGCCAGAACGGAGGTGGGGGTCAGCCAGGAAGCTGGGTCTCCAAGGGGCAGGGGTGGAGAGAGGGATGGAGGTGACCTTATCTGTTCTGGACTTGGACACACCCCTAGAAGATGCAGAACCCCCCCCCCCCATTCTGATCCCTCACAGCATTCTTCACCCTCACACCACCACGAGGAGCTGCTGCCGCAACCCCCTTTTTACTTCCAGTTCTTGAATCCCGGGAAGGCAAATGGCCTGCACACACACACGTGTCTGTGGGCTCCAAGGACAGGGCCGGAGAGAGGGAGGGGCGCTGAGAGGTGCATGTGAGAAGTGGAGAGGATGAAGGGACAGATGGGCGGGGGAGGGGTGAGTCAGTGGTGGGCAGCCGGCCGCGCTGGGAGAGGGGGGAGCATCCTTCTCCCACGGAGGGCTGCCCTGACCCTTGGCGGTTGGGGGACAGACGCCCGGCCCCTCCACCCCCGCCCGGAGCTATTTCTGGCTGGCCCTGGGTGTGCTTGAGCTGTGGTCTGTGACGCGGCCACTTCACAGGGACACGGCTGGTGGTGCGAGCTGGCCGCATCTCTGGGGCCCAGCCCCAGCACCTGCCTATAAAAACCCCTCTCAGCGCTGGCACCTGTGGCTTCTCAGGTCCAGGAAGGAAGGACCTCGGGCTCCTTTCTTCTGCTCTTTGTGGTCTGAAGGGACCAGGAGACAGCAGAGCTGAGCCACTGCCTGCCTCAATGTGCCCATTTTTAAAGCAGATTGGCGATGCACCTGCCTGCTCACCACCTGGGGAGTGACCAGGGATTTTCCCCAGACTGCCTTACAAGGGGGAGGAATGGAAGCCAGAAGCTCCAGCCCTCCAAGGCTCCTGGCCCTTCATGGTATTCAGGGAGCAGACACATCTTCCTGGGACCAACCACCAGGAGTGGGAGATGGAGACAGGCTCCTCAAGGCAGCTGCACCTCAGTATCACCTGCCCTCTGGCTCTGGGTTGGCAGCCTGGGTCTCCTCTGCTCTGCTCCGACCCTCTTCTCCCCATCCCTGCTCTGACAGGGTAGTCCTTGGGGCACCATGGTGCACTAGCCCTAAGTGGAGCAGTACAAGCAAGGCAGGTGCCTAGCTGGGCTGCCTGCCCTATGGCCCTCAACACCTTCAGCCTTCACTTCTGGGTTAGGGAGGGGAGGAGAAGGCAAAGGCACAGACCTGTTTCTCACCAGCCTTGATGGGCTCAAATGTAGAGAATAGGGCTTCCTGTGGCTCCGGTGAGGACAGGGAGCAGGCAGGAAGTTGCCAGGTGCAGCCCCACTTGGGGTAGGGTGAGGTCGGGCTCAGGAGACAGCTTCCCCGCCCCTAAGCCTTGCCCACTTTGCTGAAGCAGAGGGGTCAAGGGGGCTACTGGAAATCTGAACCAGATTTACAAAGTTGAGTTTAATTTCTTTAACTTTAAAAAAGATGCCCGCCCCCTGCCCATCCTGCTCACCCCAGCCTCGCCAGAGGGGTTACCATGGAGACCAGCAAGCAGGCCCCAAGGGACCCCCCCTGGCCGGAGCCAATTAATGCCAGTGGCTGTGGCTGCGGCTGGCTGGCGGGAGCCCAAGGAGAAACATTCTCACAAGTTGAAGTTGCTGTCCAGGTGGGAATGGAGCCGGGTTTGAGCCTGCCCTGTCCCTGCTCCATCCACTCTCGTTTCACCGGCAGACTCACGGGTGGGCAGGCAGCAGTGCAGAGGCAGGAGACCCCTGTGCGCCCTGCCCTGCCCTGCCCGTTGCCCGCAATGCAGCACGCGAGGCCTAGGGCAGACTCTACTTTCCCTGATGGAGGCGTTGACCAAAACGGGGTTAGAAGAGGGGAGGTTATCAGCCTGTGCTGCAGGGGCTGGAGGTGGCGGCCCCGGGACTTAGGGGGCGGTTCCTGGGCTGGGTCCTCGCTTCTAGAACCCCCGCTCAGCTCAGCAGAGGCAGCTCCCTGATCCTGGGTACCTGGGAACCTGATTGTAGGGACGCACGCACACCTGGTGACCAGCGTGCACACTGGGCTCAAACAGAAGGGACCTGCTGTGGCAAGGGACCCAGTGTGTGTGTGTATGTGTGTGTGTGTGTGTGTGTGTGTGTGTCTGGGTGGAGACCGGGTCAAGTTGTTTGGGTTGGGGGATGTTGCCTCTCTTCTCCGTTTTCCCCCTTCCCTTCCCCTGGTCCCTGGTCTGCACAATCCTCTTCACGGTGGCATCCTGCTCCTAGGAAGGTGTTAGCTGTCAATTCAGGTGTTAGCTGTCAATGCAGGTGTTAGCCGATAACTCAAGTGTGAGCTGATAAGCCACAACCCTCCCTGGGGGCATTCACTTTTTAATAGACTTACTCCAGAAGGCAGAAAGAAGCCCCAGCGTTCACAGCCTGGGGATGGAGAGGAATTGGGACTGGAGGGGGGGTTCTCATAGTTCTGAGCAGTGAACCATGAAGCACAGTGGGGTGGGGGTGTGAGCAGCGCCGGTCAGGGCTGGCTCAGGAGCCCCAGGTGTCCCCAGCCCTGGCAGGGAGGGTAAGGGGAGATGGAGGAGAGGTACAGGCTGCCCCTGCTGGGTTAGGGGTGGAGTGGGGGTGACAGGAGGGGAAGCGTGAACTCCTCTCCAGGGGAGGGGACTGCAGAGAATGAGGCCAGGGAGGGAGGAGACTGAGGGAGGTGCTCCCTGTCCTGTCGGGAAGTGCCAGAGAGTGAGGAGAGGGGGAGGGTGTGTGCAGGAGAAGGAAGGGCTGCAGCCTGCCAGGTCGGGAGCAGTGGCTCAGAGCTGTCCTCCGTTCCCCTCTTAGCTGCTGCTCCTGGGACAGTCGCTGGGGTGGGGGGAGGGAGGGGAAGGCTACAGTTGCTTCATCATTAAAACAGCAGCTCTTCCACTGTAGCCTGTCTCCCCTCCGCCCAGTGCCACAACCCCAGGATCCTGGGAGCCAACTACTGCTGTGTGGCAGGTGGGGAGCTGGGTCCACTTGGTGTCCTGGGGATGTGCCGGAAGCTGGCCTAATCATTTGGTCGTAGGGGGCCAGGGTGGACCAGGGTTGGTGTCAGGTGGGGAGCCCAGGGAATTGTGTTCTTTGGAATCCTTGAGGTTTTCTGCAGGCAGACACAATCCATTCTGGCACCTTCAAAGCGGGATCAATGGGGGAGTGAGCTGTGTGTCACCTCCCCCTTCCCCACACCCTTAGGAGGTGGGGACAGTTGGCACCCAGCCCACCTGTGTGTGCATCAGGTGGGGCGGGGTCTTCTAGCTAGGCTTCCACATATTGGCGGGGGGAGGGGAGGTTGACTCCATGGCAGAGAATAGGGTGGTGTGTTAGAGAATTACCACCCCCTAATTATCAGGAGTGACCCTAGCTCCAACGGGATGCCTCCTCCCCGCCTCACTGAGGTCCCCTGCTTCCACACTAATGGTTTCTTCCTCTGCTCCTCCTGCCTCCTTCTCCCCCTCCCCCCAGGGAGCCGGCTGCTGGCATGGGTGCTATGGCTGCAGGCCTGGCGGGTGGCTGCGCCATGCCCAGGTGCCTGCGTGTGCTACAATGAACCCAAGGTGACCACGAGCTGCCCCCAGCAGGGCCTGCAGGCTGTGCCCGCGGGCATCCCAGCCGCCAGCCAGCGCATCTTCCTGCATGGCAACCGCATCGTGCAGGTGCCGGCTGCTGGCTTCCGGGCCTGCCGCAACCTCACCATCCTGTGGCTGCACTCGAACGCACTGGCCCGGATCGACGCGGCCGCCTTTGCCGGCTTGGCGCTCCTAGAGCAGCTGGACCTCAGCGACAACGCTCAGCTGCGCGCCGTGGACCCCACCACGTTCCACGGCCTTAGCCGCCTGCACACGCTGCACCTGGACCGCTGCGGGCTGCAGGAGCTGGGGCCGGGCTTGTTCCGGGGGCTGGCAGCCTTGCAGTACCTCTACCTGCAGGACAATGGGCTGCAGGCGTTACCGGATGACGCCTTCCGCGACCTGGGCAATCTCACGCACCTCTTCCTGCACGGTAACCGCATCCCCAGCGTGCCCGAGCGCGCCTTCCGCGGTCTGCACAGCCTGGACCGCCTCCTATTGCACCAGAACCGGGTGGCCCGCGTGCACCCGCACGCCTTCCGCGACCTTGGCCGCCTCATGACGCTCTACTTGTTTGCCAACAACCTGTCAGCGCTCCCTGCTGAGGCCCTGGCGCCCCTACGGTCCTTGCAATACCTGCGGCTCAACGACAACCCTTGGGTGTGCGACTGCCGGGCTCGACCGCTCTGGGCCTGGCTGCAGAAGTTCCGCGGCTCCTCCTCCGAGGTGCCCTGCAGTCTGCCCGTGCGCCTAGCCGGCCGCGACCTCAAGCGCCTCACCGCCGCAGACCTGGAGGGCTGCGCGGTTGCCGGGCCCTACCGCCCTATGCGGACCGGCGAGGGCCCAGGCGAACTGCCCAAGTGCTGCCAGCCGGACGCCGCCGACAAAGCGTCGGTGCTGGATCCCGGCAGTCCCGCCTCGGCCGGCGGCAACGCGCTCAAGGGCAGGGGGCCCCCCGGGGACAGCGCGCCTCCACCGCTGCCGCTGCCGCCGCCGGCCAACGGCTCGGGCCCCCGGCACATCAACGACTCGCCCTTCGGGACCCTGCCCGGCTCCTCCGCCGAGCCTCCGCTGCGGCCTGAGGGCTCCGAGCTTCCCCCGGGGCTGCCCACCACGGGCTCTCGTCCCCGGAGGCCGGGCTGTTCCCGCAAGAACCGCACCCGCAGCCACTGCCGCCTGGGCCAGGCGGGCGCGGCGGGCGCAGCGGGAGCAGGTGGCGACGTGGAGGGCGCGGGCAGCGGCGGGCCAACACCGGCCCGCAGCCTGGCGCCCCTGGGCCTGGCCGCGCTGGTACTGTGGACGGTGCTCCGGGCCTGCTGAGCCGGGGTGCGGGTGTGTACATAGGGGTCTCCCTCGTCCCCGCCGCAGCCAGCCAGCCAAGCCAGCCAGCCTACCCCACCATGTTTACAGGGTCTGGGCGGCGGCGTTTGTTACAGAAAAGCCGTCTCCCGCCCACAGCGCGGGCTATACAGATATGCATTTTATTTTACTTGTGTAAAAAAAAAAAAATCGGACGACGTGGAATAAAGAGCTCTTTTTCGTAGACTGTGGGTTCTGGATTATGTGGACGCTGCGGGGGTGGGGGGTGGCTCCCTTCTTCCCTGCTTCCCCACCCCTAGTGGAGGCTTCCTCCCCTTCCCCCGCCCCAAGACCCTCACCACCCAGAAGAGGGATTGCCTGGCATGGGAACAGCAGCCTCTGTGGCCATGTCATCTTTCCTCCCAGCCACCAGCCCGCTGAAAAAGCTGGGCAGATGGCAATGGCTGCCATGGTGCCTTTTACCCTTGGGAGAAGGCGAAGGGGGCCCTGGGAGACCCCTGCCCACTTCCCCCTGCTACTAACAGTGGGCAGACAAGGGGTGACCCTGAAGGAGAGGTAGGTGAACAAGGCCGGTCAGGTGCTTCTGGTCCTGTCCCCTGCTTGTGACCCCCCCAGGACACGCCCCACCCTGGCCGTGCACCATCCCGCAGAGCCAGGCCCCCCTGCGCAAGCAAGCAAGCAAGCCCAGGCAGAGCCGGCTGCACGCGTGCACACAGGCATGCCGCAGGCACTTGGAAACGGGGCGCGTGGCAGAGGCAAAAATACACTCACACTTTCCCACGGCCTGGCCCATGAGGACTTGGAAAAACAGAACAGGAAGCGGGGCCAGGAAGGCAGGCAGGAGGCTCCCAGGAAAAGGGCCCCCTCCCCACCACCACCAGCACCACCATCAGCACCGGTACCACCACAACCAGCAGAAGTTGGGGGAGGAAGAGGGAGCCTGCCACCATGGGGGAGGGAGTGGGGAACTTGCTGGGGGTGCCAGATGGCCTGGGGGTGGCCCTGGTGCCAGAAGCCCAGGAGAGGAGGAGGGGGGGAGGGCCAGCTCAGCAGCCAAGGCCCCAGCTCCCTCCCACCCCCGCTCTTCTGTGCCAGCAGAAGGTGGAGTTAGGGCCCCATTTACCCCTCCACCATGGGGCCCAGGCTGGATTCGGGGTGCTTTGGCCTTATCTGCCTACTTCTCCACTTCCTTCCACTCCTCTTCCTTAACAGGGTCTTCCAGGAGACCCCTGTGAATGTCCACTGGCACCCCCTCCCTCACTGCCCACACCTCCACCTGATTGCATAGCCAACAGCACCTTCCTCCCTGGGCTGTTGGATGGGGCATTAAGGCAGATCTCCCCACCCAGCCCCTCTGGGATGACTCCCCCAAACACACACACACACACACACACACTGCAGCCCTGGGGCTGGTTGGATGATGGCTCTAGAGCATTTTGGTTTTCGCCACTTCAAGCTGTGTGGGTAGGTGGGGGTGGGGCAGCTGCCAGCAAGATCCCAGATCCCGGGGTCCTTTCATCCAATTCCCTCGCTTGCCACAGGTACACTGGATCTGGAGGTAGGCACAGGCTCAGAGCTGAGGCTGGGGGTGGAGGGGGGAGCTGAAGAGAGGGGACTCAGCATTAAGGTGCACAGGGGCTGGGTCCCCCTATACCTTGCTGGCTGGTGCTCTCCATGCCCTCAGAAACATAGCGGGTGCTTGCATGCTTCCAGGAATGTGGAGCTCACTATCTACCTACATCTGGCTCATTCCTCCCTAGCAGGCATCTGTCTCACCCTAAAACCTGTCCCAGCCAACTGGCCCTCAGGTGGGGCCTGGAGCCCACCAGCCATGGTGGCCGTGGTGGCCATGCTGCCCTCTCTGGACTCTGCCTCCGTGATCCCTGCTCCTTCTAACAAGGTTGGGTCCTCCTGCAGCCACCTCTCCCCTCAACGGAGACATGGGGTCATGCAAGGAGTGAGGGTAGTGGCCACCAAGTTGGTGAGGGGAGGCTGGCCCAAGCCAGGTTAAAGCAGGGAAGCCCCAGAATGGGGTGTGTATATGTGTGTGACCCAGACCTTGGGGCTTTGACCCCTCTGCTGAACTCATTGGCAGGGGACTGCAAAGGGGACAGGTACAGAAGGATCTGGAAGGGACTGAATAGAGGCACTTCAAGTTGGAATTGGTGGACTTGGGGCAGAAGAAGCAGTGTTGGGCAAGGCTCCCAGGAGGGTGCCTGCCCCCCCAAGCAAGCCAGCACGGGGCGCCCTTCCCCCGAGGTGGTGGTGGTGGTGATGCAGGGGGGAAGGGGGCGCCTGGAGGAGCAGCTGCCTCGCAGGCCTGGGAGACATCTGGGCGGGGGTGTCGCGTGGGCTGTGCAGGCTGAGCTCTCGCGAGGGGCCCGGCTGGAGGACACATTTAGGAGTCGTGAGCGTTCCGGTGATATTTACAGACCAGGAAGGGATGAGCTCACCGGCCAGCCGGCTGGCATGGATGAGGGGAACAGGGTGGGGGTGTGTGGGGGGCGCTCAGCACCTGCCCGTGCCTAGCTAGCTCCTGCCCAGCACCTTGTGCCCTGGCCTTGGTCCAGCTGGCTCCCTGAAATCATGGGGTTGGATCAGGTGGCTGGGGCCCAGCTTTGGGCCAGGGAACCCCAAGACCACCAGGAAGCTCCACGTGCAGCTGGTCAACCTCCCTTCTGGATAGCAGCTCCTGGTTCCCATCCAAGTATATCAGGTAGATCCTTCACACACACGTGTGTACATGTGTGCTTGTATGTATGCATATGCGTTTCCCAAGCCTCACCAGGGCGGCATTCTTGAGCACAACTGGGACACAGCTCACAGTGGCTAGCGCTGCCAGGAGCAGGAGCTGGCTGCTGTCTGGGTGCGAGGGTCAGGGCTGAGCCAATCATCCCCCATCCCCAGCCAGACATGCACACACCACGTCCTGGGGCCCTACAGGCCTTCTTGGCAGCCAAACATAGTCCTGGAGCAGCCTGGCACCTCATCCGTCTGGCGGCACTGGGTCGAGTCTCCAAGGACCTGTCCCCTTGTTGATGCAGCTGCCCCAAGGACCAACAGTGAGGGAGAGGGGACTTTGTACATCCATGGGGAGAAGTATTTCATGAATCCTAAGACTCATTCGGAAAGAATAGAAGCAGCAGAATATCAGGCAGCAGCCAACAGAGACTGGCATGCTGGGCAATAGAGGATAAGCTGTGGATACGTTCGGAGAGGAAGAAGTGTGTGTATTTGGCAGCCCAGCTGGGCCCAGGGGCTGCTCGCAGGCCCAGCCACCTGCTCAGCGACTCTTGTCCCTGGCCTGCAGGCAAGGATGCTCAGAGGTGTCCAGGCAGACTGGACCTGTGGCTGCCGACCCCAGTGTGAGCATCAGTCTGTGGCACCAGGGAGGGTCACCACTGGTGCGGGTGGGGTCTGCCCTAGGCTGGGGTTTGGTGGCAGCATCTGCTCCTTGGGAGATCATGATGGGGACAGGGGGTCTCCCTGCTTCTCTCTGTGCTGCCCATGAGTGAGTGGCTGGGCCCCACTTCCCAGGCCCAGGGGACTCTGTCAGGTCACATCTACAGAACCGGGATGGGTGGGTGCTCATCCACACACTCCTGCCCACCACAGATCTCCTCAGAGGCCACGTTCCTCCCAGGGGTGCCCCCATCTTGTGTCAGTACCCTCCTCCTCCAGGAGGTTCTCTCTGATTTCCTCCTGGTCACGTGACCATGGTGTGGCTGCACTGACCCACGTTGGTCCCTTAAGGCTAGGCTCCCGGAGCGGTGGGGCCCAGGTAGGGTATTCCCATCACAGCGCACACACACACACACACACACACACACACACACACACACACGGAGGCCAATCTTCCTGGCCCAGTTCCAAGCCACAGCTGGACTGCAGCCCCAACAGGCTCCTGAAGACTGCCAAGGGGGAAGGATTCAGCTCGTTTCAGCTTAGAGAAGCCAGGGCCCTATCCATCCTGGCATCTGAGACAGGGTAACCGTGCTTTGCTCTTGTTAGGCACCTGCTGCACACCAGGTAGAACCCATGAGCCCTCACCAGGGAGTGGGGGAGGAGAGGCCATGTTGAGTGATCTGGCAGGTGCCCTCCTCCCAGGGACAGATGCACGAAGGAGGAGCTGCACGTGGAGCTCACAAGGCCCAGTCCCACCCAACCCCCTACACACTCATACACCACCACCAGACAAAGCGAGGGGCAGAGAACGCCCCCTTCCCAGCGTGGCTGCGCACTCGGGCCTCGGGGAGCCGGTCTAATTAAACCCACCGCTGCCGCCCGGCCCCGCAGACACCGGCGCGGGAGGCAGGAGGCCTCGGATCTGTCTCCACAAAGGGCTGTGTGGAGATTCATGGACCATCAAGGCGCATCCGTGTGGGGCGGGCCCCTGGCCGCGCCGAAGCCGCGTTAACGATGCGCGCAGGAGGAGGAGGAGGCGGCGAGCGGCAGGCAGGGGCTCCGCTCACCCGGGAAGGTGGGGAGGGGTGCGGGATAGATGGGAACAATTAGGCAATGCCGAAGACCCCCCGCCGGGAGAACGCGGCGTTGCTCGGCTGCTCCCAGGCTGCTGTTGCTCGTTCGCAGGCAGGGTAGGGTCTGGGGACCCAGGGCGGGGCTGGGCAGGTGCTGAGAGAGTGTAGGTGAGGTGGGGGCCTGCAGCCGCTGGCATGCCTCTGAGCTTTGGCCTCCCCACTCTACCCTAGAAACCCCTGCCCAAGCCCTTTAACTGGCACCGGGGTCTTGCCTCCAGGGGATGGCTGAAATCCTCAGCAGTGTGACAGAGGGACCCTCACCCAGAGTGGAAACTGCTTTGGAGCTGGCCAGAGGAGCAGGGACAGTGAGGAACCTGGACAAGAAAGGTCATCACACCCCAGGATCAACTATGGGACAGAACCCAGTTTGGCAGGGAGGAACAGCCATGTCCTCCGCCCTCCACCGGCCACCTATCACATACTCCCCTCCCCAGGCAGGGCTCCCAATATGGGGTCACAAAT